CTATGCAACATCTGCACGGAGTACTATCCAATAGAAGCGCTCTTATTTGCGTTCTGCGGTACGTTACACGAGCTTAAATGACCTTAAACCCCTATCTCATCATTGTCACCGATGCAATTGGGACGACCGATGAAATGTAGGACATCCGTTGTGTAGCGATTGTCTGCAATTGATGGTCAAGCCGTCCGAGGACGGTCAGCTGAAGCTCCATTGTCCGGTCTGCCGCGCTTCTCTCATGGCTGGGGGAGGGCCACACCATGTCTATCCACAGTTCTCGGATAGTAATGTGCAGGAACATGTGGCTCATATCGCTTCGAGGATCAATAGGTTCGAGGTGGATGCTCAGCCTGCTAGCCTGGAGAAGGGAGCGCAGAAGCTGAGGAGGATTGCAAACAAGGTTGCGTTGAAGCCTGCTGAATCTGTGAGTTTGATTCCTTGCAGTGGCGTGCCTACTAGTCGCAGGGTTGTGTTTGAAGTTTGGTTCTGTAGAGAGAACTGCTTGATGCAGCGAAGAAGATGGATACTGTCATGAAGGACATGGCGGGGAAGATCGAAGACCTTCAGAGGCGAAAAGACGAGTTGGAAGAGGAGCTGGAGATCACGAAAGCTGAGAGATCAAATTTGGCGTCGAGGTGTGATGTACTGTCGAGAGATGCAAAGTTGTTCCACAAGTATCGGGAGGAGAATGTTGCCCTGAGTCAGGAGCTGGAGAATCTGAGGGAGTTTCTGGAGAGGTCGACTGCTCAGAGGAATGGCCTCAAACAGGAGAATACAAAGCTTGAACAGGAGAAGGAGCGTTTGAGAATGCAGGTAGGCCGTTCAAAATCTGAGGTGTAAACATTTCTGACGATGTTGTTCAACTCTACAGTTAAAGGCAGAGAAACAGAGAACGAAGGCTATGGCCAAGCAGAAGAAGCAGCTGCAGAGCAAGGACGTGGATGAAGAAGAAGACTCGCTCATCATTGTGGGCTAAACGGTCAATGGCAGGGTTCAAGTTGGCTGAATGCCATATTGTCCCGTCGCGCCGTATATCTCTCGTTATTGATGTCAAATGCTATATTCCACTTTCCTCGTGAGCTTGCCCGGTCCAAGGACCACAACGTCTTTGATAGGAAGAGAAAAGGCGCTCGCCTTGATATATTTGATCGGCATTTTCGGCAATTAGCTCTGAATCGGAGACGCAAGTTTAAAATAGGGAAGCATATTCGTGAGCACCACAACCGCAGCCTTCATTGGACAGCGAAGAGACTTAATGGTCGACAAACTGTCCTCAACCTACATTTCATAGCTTGGGACCATATTAACACTCCACTGGAAACTGCCAGAAACTTCGCGAAGGCGTGGCAGCTGGACATTACGTGGAAACGCCCTTCGCTTCAATCTCGGATTTTCGTGCGGATGCGGTTGCCTTGCCTATTGCTCTGCTAACTGCGATACTATTCCGAGGAATCATATAACAAGGAGGCTTTTGCAATTATGCTCTTGGTCGGCTCTTCTTCGAGTTCCGGGACGACGACAACTCTCTGCTCTGCGACGACATCATGTTACAACGAGGACTGTCCTGGGGTTTGTATGTCACTGTGCTCTCGTCTCTAGTGCTAAATAGCCTCGTTTGGAGCTTGCCATGGGATGGGCTGAATGGGAGGTCGAGCATGAACTCTATGATTGCTGGGGCGACCTCGATCGAAGCAGTGGGACCGCTAAGGGTGAACCAAGTCCCTCATCAACGACACCTGGGCGTTAAAGAGAACGGTGCGACCCATCTTTCTCGACTCGGCCAGTGCCTTCAGAGCTTGACATCGAATCCCATTGACCAGGCGACATTGGAAACGCGACCATCCTCGTCCACCAAAAACGACCACCTCTCTTCATTATTAACAGAAGGCAATTGTACTTGTACTTGAACGAAACGACTGTGTTCCCCGTTAATGTGCACAACACAACTTTGCCCGATATTCCACCGTTACAGTTGAAGGTCGAGCCCAAGAAGGGCGGAATCACGGGAGGAGGTTGGAGATGGACGGGGAGCATGCTCCACTACGATTTCCCTGGAGAAGCAGGATACCAATCGCTTTTCTGGGTGTGTCCAGGCCCTCACGATTCGAAATCACCGGCATGGACAGGAATCTTCATGTTTGGACCCAAGTACGTTTCTGTCTGTCTTTGGGGTGAGGATGATGCTCATGCAAGTCTGTAGGGGTGATGGCCGGGTCACTGAATGTAACTCGCTGATGCTGCATAGCTTCGGTACTGAATAATGCTTTGTACGACTGCAATGAATGTATATTTTCTGCCTTCCTGTCTGTTGGTTGTGAGACTTGCGGCAAAATTTGCGGATCCTCGACCCTGAGAGGAGGCTTTCGGATGGACTGTTCTTATTTCATCTACTCCGCACGCATGCTAATAGCTGCGATAAGCTAGAAACTAGATTAGTGACTAGATAGGACCACTGCCGGGTTGGTAGTCGATCTTATCACTGACGCCGGTAGAGCTTGTGGCGGTGTCGTCGACGCAGGAAGAATGCCGCCGGAAGCATTTCACACCTTGTCTCCCCACCGTCACCAACAATGAGCATCGACGATCCCCTCTCAGCCTTACAACAGGCCATTAAATCAAGCACCCCCATAACATATTCCACATCACCTTCTCCGCAGGACACCTGCTCTTCTCTCCTCCTCGCATCACACATCGTATTCGGAAGCTCGACTTTCCCAAAAACCGCACTGACGCGGTATCGGAAACCTGGTTCGAACGCAAATACTGTGAATGGGGCCGATGTGTACTCCTTGGAGGCACTGTACGTCGCGTGGCTGCTTCAGGATGCAAATGCTGCAGATTATATGAAGCAGACGAGGGAGCATGGGTTGGCTGCCAGTGGGTTTGTGAGTGTCACAGAACGAAAGAAGGTTGTGGAGTGGTTGAAGGGGACGGGTGGGGACGAGAGCAGGATTATCCCTTTTGGTACGCATGGGATCTCCGTATCTATGGCTGAATTCTTACCAGAGGTTTGAATAGGCTCTGCTGCTGCTGAAGGGGAGTCGACAACGCCTCCGGGCACACCACTGGGCAAGTTTGCCTCGCTGCCCCAGACAGCGACGCCTTCCAAGAATGCACGGTCATCTACCACGGCGGCCACTTCAACATCCTCACCGGCTAAGCGGCGGTATGTCCCAGACAATGCGGATATCGAAGTTGTGAAGAAGATCAAGGCGAATGAGGTCGAACTCAAGGACCGCAAGACAGTATTGAGAGGGATTAAGCCCAACGTATGTCTTGACATGCTCACGGAGAAAATCGTTACTTATGGTGATACCGTTATAGAACTTTTCCAGCGTTCGGACCGTTATTGCTGAGAAGGTGAAGAAGGTGAAGGAATCCAGTCGGGCTGGGTCCTCGAGCCATTCAAGCACGCCTGGACCATCAGGTAAATTCTAAGTCGTTGCGCTTTTTCTCCCTCGCTCAATAACTGTTTATAGACAACAAAAGTCTGCGGAAACGCAACAACTATCCCATCATCATCATCTCCTCGTCACCGACCGCCCTCATCACCATGTACAATGTCAAACGATTCTTGCAAGAAGCCACATTCGAACTTTCCCAAGACGCCAAAGCGCGCTCAGCGGCCGAAGGCAATCCAAAACCCGAGGACATGGTCCCCCTTTACCGGAAGAAGACGGCGATGGAGAGCAGTGGACGCGAGATTGTATCACATTCTCGATACTTCGTTGTGGATAGCGTGGAAGCTCTTTCGAAGGTGGGTGTCACCCCGACTCCCGCTCTACGTTGCTTTTAAATTTTAAGCTGACTGTCGTATCACAGTTCGGAACCGATGCATGGGATCGCGTCGTATGTGTGATGACCACAGGCCAGGCGTGGCAATTCCGCCCGTATAAATGGAGCGAACCTCGTGTCCTCTTCCATCATGGTGCACTTGTCCCAATCCTTCTCGACGAGTGCTATTGCTGACCATTCAATAGTCAAGGGTATCTACGTGACCTGGTCCAACGACCCTCCCAATCCCAAGATCAAAGATTGGAACGTAACGGAGCTCAAGGTACATCACATCTGCCTGTTTCGCCTCAGCCTTCTCTGACCTCACCCGCCATAGATTGACCCACACAGACGCCACGTCGATAAATCCACTGTTGCTAACTTTTGGAAGATTCTTGATTTGTGGATACAGCAAAACAAGCCATGGTTAATGACCTGAGCCTGACTATCGGGCACATCACGTTCACCACTTGCTTACTTCTTACTTACATGTCAGTTTGTAGATATCTGTAATGCAGATATACGTATTTTCGCTTTGTTCTTTTCAGGAAGGATTTACGCTCATGTCGCAGTTGTTCTTATTGCAGTGATTTCCGGCCGTTATTCGCCTTCCGTGCTACTTTCCCCTGAGGTCGGACGGTCGGCAATAGCCAGACAGTATCATATGCCTTCTTGGCTCAGTTGGCTAGAGCGCAGGTCTCATACGTTCGTATGAGTGGTCGATTGACTACGAAATCCTGAGGTCGCAAGTTCGAGCCTTGCAGGGGGCATCCCTTTTTGTTTTCGTTATCTCTGCGCAAGGCGGGAAGGAAGGGAAGGTAGGAAGTGGCAGGAGTAGCGGGTTCGAGTTCCCCTTGGAGCTGTCTACTCCACAGGGCTTCTTATTTTCCCCCCGTTGGAATCCATGCGACGTTCACGCCACCGGTAAACGGTTCATGCTCTGAGTCTCTACAAATGATGGGTCCTTGTGAAGCCATAGTTTGCTGCAAGGTACGTGCTGGTGCGTGTAACTCCTGACTGCATGCGATCGTGAGTTCCATGGTCCACCGTAGGTTCCTCGTCGACTTCCCGCTGGTCGCACGGAAATAACTGGAGTCGGTGTCTAAAAGGAATGCACCACCGCACGAATGGTAATAATGCCCTTGGCGATGGCGTCTAGCACAGAGTTTCGATTCTTCGATTGGGTGAACCTTCCGCCGGCAAGGATTGAAGAGGAAAGCAAAAAGATCTGCCCCCTGCAAGGCTCGAACTTGCGACCTCAGGATTTCGTAGTCAATAGACCACTCATACGAACGTATGAGACCTGCGCTCTAGCCAACTGAGCCAAGAAGGCGATGTGCAGGGAGCAGCCTATGCCTACACGGACCGTGCGACACTACAAGGCCTCTATTCAGGCAGTCTGGTGCGATTCCCCCTCTCTCCACCCTCTGGCTTTGGCTTATGAATCCAACGAGTCAAATAATTATCGTGATGTACCAATGCCTGACCTTTGACAGGTGGAAATTATCTGTTGGAACATCCTCACACAGAATGTCACTGTTTCCTCCTATTTTCCTCAGGTAGAAGCTACATACCGCGAATGTCTCAAAATGAAGAAGTAGCTCAGTTCTACTTAGGGCTCATATATCACCCAATCCTGTACGATTCCTATGCATATCTGAATCGCAAGCAGTAGTCAGGACGCCATATTCTAGCCGAAGATCCGAAAGCGTCTGTACTAGCGATTGGTCTTCAAACCAGGTTATGAAATATATTTTGCCAATTTGACCGGGTTTCATAACCAACTTGACCGTCCTGCGGTTACCGACTGTAATGGTGAAGTTGGATCTCAACCTCCCAGGTCAACCGATCATAGTCTAATTATACGCAAGTCCGAGTAATGAACGACTTGGAGGAGAGATAACGTGTGAGGTTTCTTTCCCTCAAATAAACCACTTGCGCGACAGATTGACATTCAAGCTGCACACAAACCACAACAACAGAAAATCACGCACGTAAAAAGCACAGAAAAAATTAGCAACCGAACAGCCCCAAAAATAGCTCGCGAACAAGAGAGCTATTATGGAGAAGAAAAGAAAGGAGTGTGAAGGACACGCAATAGCGTTAATACATAAAACTACAATATGCATGATAGGAAAGCAGGTGAATTAAAAGTTCCGACCAAACCAAAGTGTAGGGTGTGGGGGGTCAATGTGGTAGGTAGATAAAATGTGGCAGAAACAAAGTGATGAAGGGGGCAAGTAGGTGGGAATAACAGGTCAAGAGAAGACTTGCCCTTCACCCAATGTCCATGGCATCCTCCACAGCCTTCCTCTTGTCCTTGTCCGCACCGCCACCACCTACGATTCCACTAGTTGCCACACCATTCGCGACTTTAGGCGTCACGCTTCCACTAGCCTTTGACGTCGCGGTCACCATTTCGCCACCTGGCCCGAGCAAACCTCCAACTTTACCCATAACTTCCTCGTCAATTCCCTCGTAAACAGACTTTTCTGGGAATCCCCAAATCCTTCCAGGGCTCTCTTCCTGTTTCTTTTGAAACACAGACCCAACCTGCTCAACCCACTGTTTCCTTGTGTCCACCAACTGCTTTAGCTGGTCGCTGACCATCAGCCTATTCTCTTCGTCGGGAGTCATACCAAGCGCAGCCGGACAAGGCGGTATAGCCTGCCCTGTATGTTGACCAGGACCCGGCGTACCATTCTCCCCATTCTCAGTAAACGACGACGAAACACCGTTGATGTTAGCCTGAAGTGCAGCCTGAGATGCAGCATGGCTCGCAGCGGCCGCACCCGCCAACACCTTCTTCTTCTTCTTGTTCAACTTGGGCACGTCTTTCTTCTGCAATTTTGCATACAGGTTGGTGATGTTCTTGTCGATCATGTCCCTAATCTCCAGGTATTCTTGGTATCCCAAGCGGTCGCGGGCTATTGCCGCCAATCGTTCTTTCCGAGCTTTGTTGGTCGCAACCACCACGCGTAATTCCTGCTGTGCATGCCGGAGAGCCGTAGCAATTGGGTCATCAACTCGTTCGCTGAAATCTGGTTGCTGCAAGAGGGGAACCGTCAGTTTCCGAAACTAGCGGCGAGCGAAGACGACCTACTACGCTTTCCAGTAATCCGTGATACCTCAACGTATCCCTGATCCTATTCTCCAGATCCGTCACATTCAATCTTTCCCTCCTCGCAGCAGCGGCCCCACTACCACCGGGCCTGCCTTCCATCGCGTCTTCTGCAGCCTTCACACCCTTCCAACCTCCTGGATCAGGAATCGGCAACAGTGCACTAATCACCCGCTCCGTCAACGGTCCATGACCCTTGGACTCCCCAGTCAGGTCGCCATCTGCCAGCGTACTGGGATCCCAGGTCGGTTTTGGAGCAACGAAAGCAGAGGCAGGTGCTTCTCTGTGCTTTCCTGCTCCTCCGTTACTACTGCTTCCAAGCACCAGCGTATGTAGTGGCAGGCCCAACGCGTCCTGCTCTTCCCACACTTCGAGGTAATGCACACCCAGCTTGGGCATCACAAACGGCTCCACTTCGTCGCCCGTGTACTCGAGGAACCCTATATCCTCTTCGCGGATGGGCCGCAGATAGGACTCGATGCTGCTGTAAAAGGTGTTGACGGGTGTCTGGGCTGGCGCTTTGAGCTTTGTGAAATCCTCCTTTACATCTTCTGGTTTGCTGGGGCCCGCTATTGGCGGTGGGGGAATAGGTGGTCGCGGTGGCAAAAGGTCTTTCGAAACTGGTACAGTGAAATCGGGGAGCGCGAGCTTGATTTTGGCCGGTGGGGCAGAGGGAAGGAGAGGGGGAGAAGGCAGGTTAGTGTTCAATTCTCCCAAGGTTTGACGTTTGGTATTGGAACGAAGTTTCATAGTGAATATAACAGCAAAGGGAACATGGAAGATGTGAAGAGCAAAGGGTCGATAAATGTATGCCACAAACCTTTTGTTGTGAAATTTGGGGGGGCGGCACTGTTTTCTGGGCTTTCGGAGGAAATGACTGGGTTGATGGAGCTGGCGATCCTTTACGTGCACGCTGCACGCCTGAGAATGAACATTGTTAGCATTTTGAAGCAACCGCAGAGACTGTTGAAGGAAAGACCGACGCTGCCTGCTAAATTTAGGGCGCGTGTCACCAGACGGGATGTTCACAAATCCCCTCATTCAAAAAAGAGCCACACATCTGACATTACCGCCAGCCTGCACGCACTCCCCCGGCGCATAAATCCTTCCTTGTTACAAGCAGTCAGATGCTTACTGTGGTTGCCGTCGCTGTCCCCTGGGTCAACTTCAGCGTGTTTACGCTTCTTGAGCTTTTTGTCATCAATCGCTCTACACTTGGTTAGTATGTACAAATCTGAACGGTGAAGGGTAACGTACGACCGGCGGGGATCTACTGACGATCGAGAAGAATGGATGCTCCCACCAACAGTCGAGCTCATCCGAGGTTTCAACCCAGGGAAATGTGACCCACTACGAGAATCATCTGGAAGTGGCGGTGTATCTGCTCGAACGTATCCCAAGCCAGGGGAGTCCACGGAGAAAGAGAAAGGATTTCCCGCCCGAGTCAGTTTAAATATCCATGCCCAGAGCGAGGGGTGTATTTGGTGGTCGGTTGTGCAGCAGGGGATGACATGATTCAAGTGAAATTGTGAACAACGATAGGTTGGGTTTCTAGTCAGAAACTGCAACATTTAACTTGAGGATCTAGGCGCACGTACAGTCGCGTTCGCGTTTGACCTTCTCGACAGCCTTGGCCTTTCCTTTCTCTTTATCCTTCATGCGTCGCATGGACTCTTGAATTGTCCTGAGATCCTCGCTTGCCTTCTTGCTCCGGGCGGCTGCTGCCTGTCTGAGCAACTTGAGCTCCGCCTGGAGTTGCTCAAGCTCATCGATAGATGGCATGCTCCCCATCTCCGGTACGTTTTTCAACAGCGAAGAACGCACCGAGGGGGGCGGTGGGTAGGGCGAGAGTTTCGAGGACATTGCCGTCGTCGACGCTGTCGTGGCCAACTTTGGCTAGTTTCTTCGACCCAGTTCCGTTTACTGCTTGAAAGAAGCTCCCGGACAGAAGGAGAAGGAGTAATATCGAGAGTTGTCACTTGGATTGTGGTAGACAGGAAACAAGAAGGTTTGGTCAAGCTTTGGTGACCGTACGGTAATTGATCACGAGTACTCCTTCCCGATTAGTCAATGTAGGTCCAGCACAACACTTTTTCCACGCCTATTTAGTAACCTCTTCTCCTCGAATCCCCACTGGACCTACTGCTTTCTAAGTCCTGGTTATGAATGGCAACTCTCCAGGGAAGGCCGCTGTCGAGAGCGATGTCGAGCTGATTGAGATGGACGATGTCGAGGACCGGGCGGTACCACCGATGAAGTCCTCAGAAATCCCGGTCGCGGCCAATAACACTAGGCAACCACGAGTGGAGGACGAAGACGAGTCGGACGATGACCTAGACAACAATGAAGGCGAACGTGCTCTGCTCTCGAGTACCAGGCAGCGAACAGTGCACTACTTCCCGCCAGCGCACTCAGGATCCAGGCTTCAACGGGTGAGGGATACCTGGCCGCGAGTGAGAGGTATTGTCATAGAGGTACGACACCGATTTGTCGCGACGAACTTTGTTTCTCATGCTCGAACCAGAGTGCACCGACGCTTCTCCTGACGACAATTAGTTTGCTCTTTTCTGGAAAGCTGTTGGACCAAGTTGCGGTGAGTAGTAACCGTGTCGCATAGCCGTGACCATGGACTGCGCTGACTACGGAATTGGACATCCAGCGCTGGCGAGCAATGCGCGAGGTGGATCAACTCATAATGATCATCCCTGCAGTGCTTAACCTGCAAGGAAACCTTGAAATGAACCTTTCTGCGCGCCTATCCACCGCGGCCAACATTGGCGAACTCGACGACCCGGCCGTCCGACGACAAATGATTTTAGGCAACTGGACTTTGCTACAACTCCAAGCAATATCTGTGTCCTTCATAGCCGCCTGCATAAGCCTTGCTCTCGGACAACTCCTACCGAGACCAACGCTCCCACCAACTATTGGAATACCCTCAACAAATTCAACTATGCCAGCCCTCGCCATGCGCTCTCTAATAGAACACATAGACCCTAGAAAGCCAATACCTCACATCCCACTCGAGGCGCATCACGCAAACACTGGGCTCGCAACGTGTGTATTCCTCTCCGTATAAAACAGCTCACTAACGCGGCCAGACAGTATCCTAATGGTCACTACAACCGCAATGACATCCGCCTTCCTGTCGGGTCTAATCCTGGCCTCATTTATGTGTTTCCTCATCCTCGCCTGTCGCAGGTTCAACCTTG